GATTGAGTTCCACGCTTCATTTTAAGAGATTTTCATTTTTATTCAGTAAAACGCACCGTTCAAAGGCAACCAAACCAAAAGAAGAGATAAGGAATGATACGAGGATAAAATATGATAGAAGAGATAGATCGACAAAGATCACAGATTGATCAAATTAAAGTAACAAAATACAAGAGAAATACACGAGATTGTAGATCGGCTCTTGTAGGAGAGTCGGTTTCTTCAAAAAAATAAAAAAATAAAAAAATAAAAAAACCCAATTACAATGAAGAGTCTCTTAACAAGAACTCTCCAATTGAAGGGAAGATATCCTATTGAAGCTGCTCTAATAACCTCACTGATGCAGTTCAAAAGAAATCTAACACTAAACCTTGTATTCAAATTAATATTAAATACATTCAAGCTGAAACCGGTTTTGCGAATTCAATCAAACCAATCAAATATTACTGCTGCATCATCTTTTTCATCAAATTTTGACAGAGGTGGTTCTGCAGTTCTGCTTCTTTGTCACTGCTGCAGTTCTTTGCCACTAAAATTCCACTCAGTCCCAAGTTCTCGATTAATGTAAAAATGATTTGAAAAGGTATGAAACATGGTCCCTAGAGAACTGTGGACTGTGACCCACAAGTTCATTGTGAATTGAAATCACCAGTATGTAGGTCGTAGTAATATGCCGCCCTTAGCACGGTGAACAGTAAGAAGACACGGTCCAGTGCTCATCTGTCATGTCTGCATTCGTTATGTTCAAAAGAAATGAGGTCGGGTTTTCGGCCGCCGGCTGGTAGAATGCAAGACTGGTTGCAACTGGCAACCCCATATAAAGCATAAGATCCCAAACGCACTGCAGGGTACCAAAATTACTTAAACCCAAATAGACTTAAAAGGCGTAGAAATGGTTATAACCATACGTTATAAAAGAAAAGTAAAAATCAATCATCTTTATTTATAATCACAAAAGAAAAAATTAAAATACTTTGACATTAAAAATATTAAAATATTTAATTTCAACCACATAATATAAAATTCAAGTAAAATTTATATTATATTTCACTTATTTTGTAATTGTGACTAAATATTCTAATAGTTTTAAAGCCACTGCAACCCCATTTACAATATAGAAACATAATGTTCAAAGCATCTCCTGATAGTGGAAATAAATTTTTTGTGCTGGCTAAAAGAGATACTCCATTACGGAAAGGGCACGACGGGCCATTAATACAAGAAACTAGTTATTGTAATCTAATAAAGGACTCACGTGTTAGTTGGCAATCGAATCAATAATTCCAGTGGGCGATAGATATTCTTAAGAAAAAAATTTGAGTATTTTGATTAGAACAAAATAGAAAATATAAGGCATTATATTTAAGAGAAATTGATTTGAGTATGTGAACGTCTATCTCCAATCAGAATACAAATTAAAAATTTGGCTTAAGGAATCACCCGGAATTCCCTAATGGATCAGGAAGCATTATGCCAGTCACTGCTGCTTCAACACACGATCCAATAAACCATAATTGAACCATACTCTACATCATCTGCAGTGTAAAATATATAGAAAATTGGTTTTGACTTCTACATAAAGGATAATACATCAAAACATACGCAGGCTAGCAAATCATAGACATGGTTTACTCAACCCTAACTAAAATCAAAGGCATAGAAATGGCACCTATTTTTTCCCACAACCAAAAGTTGCAACCATATAGAAAAAATCAATCATGTTTATTTACAATATTGAAACAAGATGTTCAAAGCATCCCCTGATAGGGGAAATAGATTGTGTGTGTTGGCCTAAGAAGATACAACGTTATGGAAAGACAGCAGGTTTATACAAGAACTAGTAATAGTAATCTATAAAAGGACTTAGTAGGTAATACCAATAGAGCCCCCCATTTCCACACTCAGTTAATAAATACAATGGGTGACAGATTTTCATATTATTTTTAAGAGAAAATTGATTTCAATCTGAGACTTCTTTCTCCAACCTAAACATATCTTAAAGTTTTAAGCACACCTCAAGAATTCCTTTCTGAAGAGCATGAATAGCTAGACAGAGGCAATAGTCACTCTTCTGTTAGTTCAAAGCAAGAGGAACTTCAACTCGACAATTGACAAGCATCTCAAGAACAAGCAGCTGGCATCTTGATATCTCTGAAAGAATAAGTGAAATCCATTATTCAGTTAAGAGAGCTCCATCTTTTAAAGAAGTTCAAATGACTGGCACTGAACAAACCTTCTGCAGTGGTGCCACAAGTGCCTGAGTGCCTAAAAGCAATATACAACCAGGTAACTGTTTATGGCAACCAAACTATATGCCACTTAGTGATAAGTGAGTTTTCCCCATTTCTGTAGTGATCCTTCAAAAAAGTCAAAGGAGATGAAATCAATAAAACACTTAAGAGGCTTTCAAAAAGCACAAATAAGAATTAAGACAACTAAAAGAAGAGTGCTAATCCCATGTAGGCTAAATGGCAAATAAATTTCAAAAAGCAATATATAACATCCAGGATGAATAGACAGCAACACACAATATCACACAATATTACCTTGGACGTGTCAATATAACAGATACACATAAGACCTACACTAACTACTTTCCCAATTTCCATTACACTTTAACTCATGAATCTCTTAACAATAAAGGAGTCTCTATAATTACTGCAGGCTCGGAGTAACAGAAGTGTTGGTGAGTGCACAAAGCAAAATGAGAAAGAAAAAGTTAAAATGAGATCTTTGCCAATAAAAAAACAGTAAATGAGACACTACCATAAAAGAAAATGACTAAATGAGAATGGAAGATCCACAAAAGAATCAATATTTATCACAATCTATTATGAAATGAGCTGCACATCATAATGCAAACTGACCTAAAAGGGTGAAAGCTGAGATTACTGCATCATCTGCAATAGTGACTGTCAACGTTTGACTGCCCAACAATAAAAGCAAGCTGGATTCAAATAGCAGAATAACTTCAGAAAGTTTCCATTGTTCATTAGTTAACAGGGAGCAAGCAGCATTACCAGAAATGAACCACAAACAAGTTGGAAGAAATCCAAAATGAAACAAGGAAAAGAAATCTTTTATATGTTTAATCTGTATTGTAGAAAGCATGTCTAGCCAATAGCTACTCGGAACCTTAGACCATTAGATGGACTCCCATACAAAACATTTGTGAACTAATTACAGCAAGTTACATAAGGAATCACCTGGAGTTACATCAAGGGAGGAGGCATTTATGCCAGTGATTGCTGCATCAATACATGATCCATACTTGTAAACATTCCATAATATGGAAATCTACCATAAGAATTTTCCAGATTGTCTTGAGCCTCTCTTGTTGGGTTTCTGGTCCCAAAAATGAGATTAGTTTCTTGAGACCTTCATTGAAACAAACTCTACATCACCAGAAGGGATGAAAAGAAACAATTCGTCAAAATAATACTATATTAATGACAGCAGTTGAAAAAGTTTTTCACATTTCAACACTAACTCTTTGGCTTTGGCAGCAAGTTAGGTACCTGAATATCAGAGTCAACAAAACAAGCAAGTACTTCAGCCATGATAAGAGAAACCTCCTCTGAGGATGTGTCTTTGGGTCATCTTTAGTTCCACCTTTCATGGACTCTTAATTGTAGGATGCTTGTAGAAAACACCAATCAATAAATAAGCAAAAATATATATTAATGCAGTTTATACAATTCAGAGTTTAAATAAAAGTTTATGAAGAAGAGCATAGGATATATAAGCTTATTAATACCTCCCTTCAAAATATGCAACTCGGAAACATACAATATGTAAATGCTAATGTATATATTTTGTTTCAGAGATTCTGTTTTAATTAGGTACAAACATTTTATTTATATCTTCGCAAGCAGAGAACAATTATCTGATTTTTGAGTTTACACAAAACACAACATACCATCCAGTTAGCTAATTAAGCAAAAATCATCAATTTACCCAACACTTATTCACCCACCAAGTAATTAATATTTTCTATATGTTTCGTAATTTTACATATACAAATAATTTTTTCGAAGAAATTACCACATTTTAACACAGTTTGTGATAAGAATGATGTTTTGCAATCAGGACGGTAAAACATAAACCCTTGGATGGGATTCAGACTCGCCACATCCAACGAATTTAGTTATGCAATCTGCTACAATCTGGATTGCACAACTCCCAATCACAACACAATACAAGAGTTTAAAATCGAACAAGAAAAATGAAAACAAACAAAAAAAAAAAATTACAGTTTCTTACCTGTCTATGAATCAGATCACCAGCCAAAGCATAAACTGACTGATAGCCTTTATATGTGCCGATAGCTGCTACCCTAATCTCGTCAAAAACCAGAACCTCGAGGACAGGTCGGGTCGGATCGGATCATCACCCTGCGTTCATCCGGATCAGTCGATCAGACCATCCAAGGCCGAGAAAAAGATTTCCGTTCGTGATGTAAGAGAGTGGGCGTCTAGAGGGCAAAGGATGGTAGTGTCATTCTTCAGCCTTTCCGAGATCGTTCGGCCCCACGCAGGCGATGCAATTGCAACCCACATTGGTCGGATGTGTCCAATTGGGCATTGATTGGAATTTCAATTTCAACCGCTCAGAGAGAAGTACGGTAAAAGGAAGAAGATAAGGTGTGCAGTCCGCACATTAAACATAAAAAATTTCATTTCTTTCATTAAAACGCACCGTTAAAAGGGAAGGAATGGAAGAAAAACTTAGAAAAGTGATATAACATAAAAAAAAACATCCAGTTTTTGGCCAAAATTTTCAACAAACATTTAACATGAAATAATAGTTCACATAAAAAGACATAACAATCTCAGAAAGAGAGAGCAACTGCCTGCAGCTTCTGCAGCCAACTAATTAAAGTTCATGCACACATTATTTTTGTCAGATCTTCTTGGAGGAAGAAAGAAAGCCAACTGCCTGCAGCTTCTGCTGTGGAAAAGAAAGCAAAATTACAAAAATTATTACGACTATTCTATCCATTGTTATACTTAAAAGAAGGAGCACAAATAAAAAGAGGCTGTAGAAACTCACCTAAGAGCGTTGGTTGGGTTTTCGGGTTTTTCTCTTCTTACGCCTGCAGATCCATCTTCCAACAAATTTCTCTTGATATTTCTCCACCTTCTTCACCAGCCACCATGGTTTCCCTGTTGTGAACACAATATATGCCAGACTAAGTCCTAATATCAGTCCACACCCATAGCCCGCCAATGCAAACTTCCACTCAAAGACTGCTGTAGAGTCATCTTCTTCATCAAATTTTGATGGAGGTGCTCCTGGTTTTTCCTCGTTGTGGCATTTCTTTGTCAATGGAAATCCACACAACCTAGAGTTCCCAATGTAGGAATCATTTGAGAAAGTATTGAACTGCTTCCCTTGAGGAATGTCACCTTCAAGTTTGTTGTGTGAAAGGTTCAGAGCTGAAAGGAATGTCAAACTTGTCAACTGCTCAGGAATCCAACCATCAAGCTTGTTTGATGAGAGATCTAGTGATTCAAGCTGTGTCATTCTCCCCAAAGATGATGGAATTTGACCAGTGAGATTGTTGTGAGACAAGTTTAAAAAATAAAGTGAATTGAGTTCTCCCAGTTCTTTAGGAATGTGTCCATGGAATCTATTACTTGAGAAATCAATAATTGAGAAAATTGGCAGGATTCTCTTCAGCTCCACCTTTAAACCTTTCATTGTTACTGTCACAGAATCATCAAAGTAAAGGGGAAAAAAAACCGTTGACGAATTGATAGAAACAGATGCACCCATATATATCAATTCACCTTCTTCTTCATGTGCATCTCTCATACCTGTCAAAATTTTGAAATAGTTACTCGGTAAGAGACCCATCAAATCATTCTGCGCAACATCAATGATTCTCAACTGAGGTAAGTAAAATGCAGGCATAGAATTGTTGATAGCACCATGAAATCCATTAGATCGAAGGATGAGAACTTTTAGCGATGGAAGAACACCTAACCAATCTGGAAAGGTATCATTCAAGTTGTTGTTCCCCACATCTAGAATTTCCAAGTTACTGCAATTAACCAAAGACCGTGGCAGTATACCTCCCAACTGGTTGCCATTTAGGGTAAGAGTTCTCAGTTCACTCTTGTTGACAAAAGAATTTGGTATTCTACCATGAAACTTATTCATCCGCAGATCCAAGAAGGCGAGATTTCTCAAGTTTCCAAGACATTCTGGAATTTTTCCTCCCAAACTATTATTACCCAAGATTAGAACACTAAGAGAAGTGAAATTGCAAAAAGAAGAAGGGATTTCGCCAATCAAATTATTCTCTGAAATGATGAGTTGCATAAAATCCCAAGTTGTTGATAGAATGGGAAGTGATCCTTGCAGTGAGTTGGAACTGAGGTCAACCTCGATAAGATTTTCAAAAGCAAACAAATCTATACCAGTCAAGAGGTTATAAGAAAGGTTTAAACTGAGCAATGACATCCCTTCTATTTCCCATTTGTGAATTTGACCAGAAATCTTGTTCTTGGAAATATCCAATA